GATGAGTGAAGACATAGCTATGCTTAGAAATTGTGATTTCGTGTTGTGTATTCGGGTAACATATCTGGATTATACAATATTAGCTGTACTTTGCTGCTTTTAGTCTCCAAGATGAACTTGAGATGAGTAAAGCAAAAATATAATTGGAATTCAAATGACCTCGCCAAAAAACAAGTATAAGCTTCTCTTGAAAGCAACTGGGAAATATTCAGCCATTGAGACAGATGCTTAGGGTCAATGACCTCCCACAGCTGATGGAAGAGTCTCCTGGGAATATGAACAAAAGCTGTTTGATTCTTCAAACATAAAGATTTTACCTGTGACTGTGTTAGTCTTCTACCTTATTGGTAGATGATCTCAGAATCTAGGGAGATTAATGTATTATCTCAACTCTTTCATAGAAGGGATTCATAGAGAATATTTCTTTAGATTCCATTTGGCTCTTAAAGGGAAACATCTGGTGAGGTGATTTCTTTATTAATAGCCTCAGGGACTGGGTGCTTTTGCAGATTTCCAAAGGGCACCATATAAACTGAGTCTTCAGACAGGTCAAAATAACCTCGACCCTTACAACCAGCAACAAAGCCAAGGTGCAAGTGAGTATTAGAAAGTACACAGCATATGGAGAAGGAGGGAACTAGAAGACTCTTTTATCAGCTGTTCACAGAGAGTCAAGGAGAAGAAGAGGATCTCATCAGCCCACAGTATTGGCTTTGTGTACAGATCTCAGCCTGAAGTTAATATCACCGGGGAAAGGATTTGGCCATGGATATCTAAATCCTTTCATGCCCTGTGATGGGGATATGATTGGCTCTCTCACTTGTTCCTATGCTTTCTAGGAGAGGCCCCATTTCTTCTGTCAGACTTTCACTTTCCTGATGGCATGGAGGAGGATTCTGGCATAAACTTGATTTTTCATATGTTCAGTTATATATTCTTTTTCTTGGTACCGTTTTCCATCTTTATAACCTTTTTCCTTTTCTATGATTTTTTCCTCACCTTTTGTCCCTTCCGTTTTTGTCTTTTTTCTTAGAAACAAAAAGCACCTCCTCGATAAAGACACATGCATGTCCCATACCACAAATAGGGTGAGTTTTCTGATCTTTAATATAGCTATATTATAATGTGCCTCTGCATCTTGTTCTGAGGAAGAGGGAAAACTGCACTAAAGGTTACTGACGAAATACAGTAAACTCCTCTTCAGGACAGCCTTTCCTGTAGTGATCCATTACTGGTGCTGCATGTTGTTTTACAAGAAGAAATTCTTTACCAGCTGTGATATGGAAGAGACTGTGTTAGGGAAGAGAGTTTCTGAAGGGCCAGAGAAGAAAGAATGAGGTGAGGAGAGTGAAATTGAGTTTAGAACACAGAAGAGGAGGGGCTGCGTGGGACTGTCTTTGTATCATAACTGAAAAAATATATTACTCATGACTTTTTCAAAAGGCACTAAATTCTGGTTTTTAACTCTTACTCTTGTGGACAGAATACGGAGACTAACAAGTTATTTTGTTAATTTGATATCCCTTAGTCTCAAATCCAAAGCAGTAATACATTGAGTATGTCCTGTTGTCTATAATTCTTCTCTGATGGAAATGCTTATATTTAAATCTCATCTGTACAAGTACAAGGTAGCAGAATGGTTTTCTTTGTGGGCACTTTAACATTGTTGTTTCACACTGACAAAATAACTACAGAGGGACCTATGTGAACATGTTCATCTTTTTAATTTGAGAAGGAAACATTTTTAAAGAAAATGTACTGGTATATGATAGGGAAAACAACAGGACACAGATTTGTTTTAATTTAGGGGTGTTTATTATTCTTTTCATTAAGTTTATAGGTATATTTTAGGTATACAATACAGTTACATTCATCACTGGGATCTTGTACCCTTACATGATGTATCTTGGTTCTTATTTTTCCCCCATTCTCCTGCCCTCCCTTCGTCCCCTCCACCCTTCCCTATTTACAAAGACTTTATTTCTGTTTTTTTGCTTTTCTCATATTTTTTCCCTTCTTACCTTTCCCCTACCCCTGTAACTTCCCCTACTCCTCTAGAACTTTTCTTCCTATTACATAATGTCAATTGTACCTTTATACCAGAGACACTATTCCGTATTTATGCATTTATGTCCTATTAATTTCACTTAGGTGTTAATTATTGAGTCATAATTTCCTCACAAGAAAATAGGTATCTCTGGCCAATTTTTCCTTTTGAGTACTGTTGGCATCACTGTTCCACCATTTGCCCAAGCCAGTAACCTAGAACCAATGTACCAGGAAATCTTGCTAATTAAAAAAAAATCTCATCTCCTTGCTTATTATTGTTGCTGTTATTAGTATTATTTCTACTCCTTCCTCCTGGTCAAAGTCAACATTTCTCTTCATCTTTATTATTTTGACAAGTTTTTAATTTGCTTATTTTTCACATAACAGCCAGGTGAATAATTTTAAAATGAAAATCAGTATATATTACTATCCTCTCTTTCACTATGATACTTAAAGCTCCCTAATTTCTTCTCATTGCATTTAGAGTAAAAACAAATCTTACTATCATCTGTAAGATGCTCTGGGCCCTGATCACTGCCTGGGCTTCTAATAATACCCACTGTTCCTCTCCCGCTTGCTGGCCAACCTCAGTCAAATTGATTTCCTTACTCAATCCAACAGCTTTCCTCTAGGTTTTTATATGATTACTTCTTTGTGATTCAGGTCTTAGCCCAGATGTTACCCCCTCCTAGTTGCAGCCTCGGACAGCTGGAACAACTACACTGACCTGTATCCCAATAACTTTCCATTAGAGAGTACCAGGGGGAAAAAATGAGAACCAAGACCTGGCATGCAAAGGTACAAGATCCCAGTAATGAGCGTAACTGTATTGTATACCTAGAATGTACCAATAAACTCAATAAAAAGGAAAAAAAACCATGTAGTTACATTTGTCTAAAAGTGTTTCATTCATTTTTTTGGTACCAGGGATTGAAGTCAGGACCTTGCACTTTGGAGGCAGGCAGTGGAACCACTGAGCTAAATCCCTGGCCCGTTCATTTTTCAATGTAGGTTATGCTTTGTAAGAGCAGAGCCTCTGTTTTATTACTATTTAATTCCAAGACCTTTACAATAGGAGAGGGGCATTCCTCCCATATATGAAGTTTTGGGGCTGTGATTCTATATTTCACTGCCAGTAGAACAGGAAACATGAAAGGAAATAATAGTGCTTTAGAAAATACATGCATCACTGAAGCATACACGACAGCTTACAGAATAGCAGACATTGTTTGGGTCCTTCCTACTTCCTTCCAGTGCCCCTCATCAGGTGTTGGCTGATAATCCGCTTCCATTCTCTGGAGTCTTTCCTCCCTCCAACCAGATCATCTTACCTCGTAGCTCATCTCTGGCTCCCTAACACGACATCGCACTACTGTATATGTGTCCTAATGGAAGTGGTGTTACCAGAAAGGTGACTCGATTTCCAGGTTAGAGGAGCGGTGTCACTGCCAGTGTCAAAGCTACACTGCCTACTCAACTCTTTGAAACAGTGGGGGAGCCTGAAATTAGTTGAGTGGTTTCAAGGACTCACTTATCCCACCTCATTCTGAGTCCAAATTGTGTCTCAGTTAAATCAAGTCACTCTAAATTTGCACTTAGTATGAAGAAGACACAAGGCAGACTTAAGGTTTTCTCAGAGACTGACTCCAAATCAGGACGTCCCTAGTTCTACTGATTTCCATAAAGACTTCTGAGCAGAGTAGGGTTCAGGGGGCAATTAACAGAATTTATAATTTCAAAATCTAATATATGACCTACATGTTTACCATGTAGTAGACTTGCTTAGCATAAAATCTCACCATTTTCCAGGTGCCAAATAAATTTAAGCTTAAGGGTAGCTTAAGAAATGAGGATTCCTCAGATTCTTATATTTCTGGCAGAAAATGAGTATTATCCTTTCTCATCACAAGTTGCCGGAAAATTCCAGGAGTGGAAAAGAATACCTCTACCATATTCATTTCTCCACCTACTGCCGGGTACTTGAAGTAAGTGAAAAATTTTCTTACCTAAATTGTATTGTTCCAGAAGCAGGACGATGACCCCTGGATAATACCAAGAGACAGATAAAAAGCTTCTTGTTCCAAAGAACATATCAACATTTGCATTTATCTGTAAGAAAATGTCACTTCAAGAATGCGTGTCAAGTACTATAATGGCCTATCTTATTTGAAACCACAGCATGGACTTTTGTAACAAGGCAGACTGGCATTTCTAATGTGGAACCTATAAGTGAACTTCAAGGAAAACTCTAAATGCTTTTAGAGTATGTGTGATATCATCTTCTTGTGTCTATTTTCCTCCATAGAGACTTTATGACTCACCTAGAAAACTTTTCTAACAAAATATGTCTTTATCACAATTTTGAAATAGACTAACTTAATCCAAATTTAAATGCAGGAAGAAACTACAACCAAACTAAACAGTCATCTAGGTAAGCAAAATTACTATCCATTTCTATGTATTTCTTTATGTTTTTAAACATATGGCCCTTTTAAAATTTTTATTTCTATTAGTATATATTTGCAGTACATAATACTTACATTCACCATGGGGCGTTGCTAACACACCTTATTATTATTATTATTTTATTATTATTTTAAAAATCTCCTTCCCTTCTCCCACCTCTACCTTTCCAACTCATGGTCACCTTCCCTTTTACAAAAGATGTGTCTCCCCATCATTTCTGTGTCAAGCATGAAAAAAGTAATAGGGCATAATGCTATAAAATAACAGAACATTGTATCCCTTAACCTAATGTCATGCATAAATTATGAAAATTATAATTCCTCACTTCTGGAACATCCTATAAGTATCTACTGTTCTGAAAGAAATAATTGTAGAACTATGCATACATCAATTAATTGTCTCTAAGCAAAATATTGGTTTGAGGCTGCTTGGTAGTGGGACTGATAGCTTCTTCCAGAATTTCCCTCTTCGACAGTGGGCGCACCATGTGGCCCAACGTTAGCACCGCCCCCTTTCTGCTGACTGGCTTCCCCGATATGGAGGCAGCTCACCACTGGATTTCCATCCCCTTCTTTGCCATCTATGTCTCTGTGTTTCTAGGCAATGGCACCCTGCTCCACCTCATTAAGAATGATGGAAGACTCCAGGCACCCATGTATTATTTCCTTGCCATGCTGGCAGCGACAGATCTCACAGTGACACTGACCACGATGCCTACTGTAATGGGGGTCTTATGGACAAATCTCAGGGAAATAAGCCATGGAGCCTGCTTCTTACAGGCTTATTTCATTCACTCCCTTTCCATTGTGGAATCAGGTGTCTTGCTTGCCATGGCCTATGACCGTTTCGTTGCCATCCGTTCCCCTCTGAGGTACACCTCCATTCTTACCAATTCCAGGGTGACGAAGATAGGCCTGGCGGTACTGTTGAGGGGCTTTGTATCCATCGCGCCTCCAATTCTGCCCCTCTACTGGTTCCCTTACTGTCGTTCCCATGTCCTTTCCCATGCCTTCTGCCTCCACCAAGATGTCATGAAACTTGCCTGTGCTGATATTATTTTAATCGCTTATACCCAGTTATCCTGGTGGCTTTGACTTTCTTTCTGGATGCTCTAGTCATTGTCGTTTCTTATGTCCTAATTCTGAAGACGGTGATGGGCATTGCCTCTGGAGAGGAGCGAGCTAAGGCCCTCAACACTTGTGTCTCCCACATTAGCTGCGTGCTGGTGTTCTACATCACTGTGATCGGCCTGACCTTCATCCACAGGTTTGGGAAACACGCCCCACATGTGGTCCACGTCACCATGAGCTATGTCTACTTTCTCTTTCCTCCATTCATGAACCCCATTATATACAGCATCAAGACTAAGCAGATTCAAAGAAGCATCATTCACTTTTTTTCTGTACACAAGAGGGCTTGAGCCATTGCTTCACAGTCTTCAGATCTCTGGGATATCTAGATATTTCCTATAATTGGAATAGATTTAAACTTTGTACTCAATCTTTATTTTATCAGAGTTAGGTAGACTTTAGCTGTTAAATAAAGCTACAAGCTAAATTAAGCAATGAACATATTCATCCATTGAGATCTCTCTCTC